ACATATTATTTATATATATATATATATATATATATAAATAAATATATATATATACATATATATATATATATATATATATATATATATATATATATATATACACATATGTATATAGAATATATATATATATATATATATATAAATATATATATATACATATATATATATATATATATATATATATATATATATATATATATATATATATATATATATATATATATATATGCAATAAATATATATACACATATGTATATAGAATATATATATATATATATATATATATATATATATATATATATATATATATATGTAATAAATATATATACACATGTATATAGAATATATATATATATATATATATGTAATAAATATATATACACATATGTATATAGAATATATATATATATATATATATATATATATATATATATATATATATATATATATATATATATATATGTAATAAATATATATACACATATGTATATAGAATATATATATATATATATATATATATATATATATATATATATATATATATATATATATATATATATATATATATCAACCCTTGAAATTAGGGTCAGCTTAAGTGTTGACCTGAAATTGTTTGAGATAAGCAAAAAATTGCCGACCTTGTTTCTATGTTTTATGGTCAGACCTTTGTATCAAATAATTTTTGCTGACCTGATGCCTACCTCATTTTTCCTATTTCCAAGGGTTGATATATATACATATATATATATATATATATATATATATATATATATATATATATATATATATATATATATATATATATATATATATATATATATATATATATATATATATATATATATATATATATATGTATATATATATATATATATATATATATATATATATATATATATATATATATATATATATATATATATATATATATATATATATATAAATATCTTAGTTTCAGCTAATAACCCCTGTTGTTTAACTTATTGTATACACCTTGTTGTTAAACTTGGCATACACACCATGTTGTTTAACTTAAGGCCAAAAAAAGCTCTTCATACATTTGTAAATCACCTGTGACTGAGGCCTTAAAAAACTGAATCAACTAGACCCCCTGTAGTTATTCTACACTTCATCTTTACTTCATTCTTTAAGTTGAGCACAGGTATTTATTTATGCTGATTGGATGTAATAGCAACAAATATGACACTTTATAATACCATTTAGCTCTTATCAGACAAAATAATCTTATTTATCAACTTGTCTTCAAACTTAGGCAGCATGTCACAAAACTTTATTCTTTTGTTGAAATTACTTTCATTTAGCCTTTATAGTTTTCTTGATCAGAATGGTCAAAAGTCTACTTATTGAATAGCATGATTAATAGCTTCTTGTCTTCTTTCCGCGATTAATAGCGTCTTGTATTCATTTAAATAACACCCTTTTGAATTGAAAAAAAATAGTTGTTGAATTGAAAAGTTGTTGAATTGAAAAGTTGTCGGTTTCTTCAAAAATTTCTCTAATGTTTAACTTTCTTGAACTCTCAACTTTCTTGAACTCTTAACTTTCTTGAACTCTCAACTTTCTTGAACTCTCAACTTTCTTGAACTCTCAACTTTCTTGAATTCTCAACTTTCTTGAACTCTCAACTTTCTTGAACTCTTAACTTTCTTGAACTCTCAACTTTCTTGAACTCTCAACTTTCTTGAACTCTCAACTTTCTTGAACTCTCAACTTTCTTGAACTTTCAACTTTCTTGAACTCTCAACTTTCTTGAACTCTCAACTTTCTTGAACTCTCAACTTTCTTGAGCTCTCAACTTTCTTGAACTCTCAACTTTCTTGAACTCTCAACTTTCTTGAACTCTCAACTTTCTTGAACTCTCAACTTTCTTGAAGCTTTTTCTTTAACAATAGAACAAGAGCAACCGGATCTTTTTCAATTGCGTACGCTACCTGTCTCTTTTAACTTGTCAACCAAATTTCAGATTATTTTCTTGTGAGGTGGCAGAGTTGTAAAATGAATTTTCCTTTAGCTTCAAACCTCATGAAAATTCTATCATTTGGCAAATAAAAAAATAAATTGAGTTCTCTTTTGATCGAAACTCATGAAGTTATTTCTTTAATCATGTATATTAATAATTAAACTTTATATATGAATAGATTTTTAAATAAATGTATTATGATAATTAGGAGGAATTCTAAATTAAAAACGCAACTTGTGAAACATTCAGTATAATGTATAACCTAGGGTAATTATAACACATACCTAAGGTAGGCTTAATGATTTTTATAGTTAAAAACATCAAAAAGTATTTAACGTTTGTTTTAGACATTCTAAACCTAATGGATTTCACTCTCTTGCTGAATTAAAAAGGAAAATAAATGGTTTTTGCAAACCAAATGTTATTTTAAATCCTACTTTTGAATCTTTGCCATCCATCATTTTTAAAGGTTATTTTTTTAAATTAGTTTTTGTAAAACATTTTTTAATACTTTATTTGAAAACATTTAATATAAATTTTTATATATTTTATATAAAACATTTTATTTTATAACTTTTAGACTCTGTTCAATTGGTATACTACTTTGAAGTAAATCTATCGAATTATTTATCACTCAAAGACTTCACTATTGGCTATTTATGCTCAGCTGTTCAGCCTCTTGTTTCTTGTAATAGAACTTTTGTATATTATGGCGGAAACGTATTTGGTTGTGGTCTTCTTTTGCCATACATGGAGCTAGTCTTCACTTGTAATGGACAAATTATTTTTAGGGATCCAGTTAAGTTTGATTTTGCTGAAGAGTCTTTTTTAAAACTTCTTCCGTTTGTTTCAATAAAAAAGGTGAAGTTAAATTTAGGACAACACACTTTTGCATACAAAGAAGCAAATTCAATGCTATATAAGCAGGGATATCTTCACGCTGTTTACAATATTATGACAATACTAGATGGTGTTTCTTAAGATATTTTGAAATGTAGTTTTTTTGTATGTTATGTAAATGTTTTAATTCTTAAATTTTATTTTCATGTTTAAAATGTTTTATAAAAAAAAACTATTTTCATTTTAAATGAATTTAAGCATTTGATACAAAAAATGCTCTTAAATAGTAACTGGAATTATTTCTATACATAAGTCAAATACAAAATATTTGTAAACTTGAAAACTTTTCATGATTATAATTTTTATCAACACTGATTTCTTTTCTTTTTTTGCATTTTCCTATTATATTTTTTAGTTTACCTAATGATATTTAAAAAAAAGCAAAACTAGGTAGAAATATATTAAATAAATATTTTGAATAAACTAAAAAATATAAAATGGATAAATAAAATAATGAATAAAAAACAGTAAAATATATTTAAATAAATATTTCTATTTTATTTAGATGAATGTTTAATGTTTATCATATAATTCAATTTTAGTTATGTTTATCCAAATTTACTTTTAATTCACTCTTCAATAAATGTTGTTACTGGCAACCACTAATAAGTTGGTAATTTACTAGGAGAAGATTGTTAAAAAGCAAAAAAAAAAAAAAAAAAAAAATTTACTAGTCATTTTAATTTTCAATTGTTTATTTTTGTCAGTTTAACTTTCAATTATTTGATTCTGATTTAATGTAGATTTTTGTTTTGTATATGATGTATTTGAGTGTGTATGTATAAGTATGTCAATATGTGTTGAGTTTAGAAAGTAATGTGTTTTATAGCCTTTTCATTATTAACATTATTATCTTATTATAGTAATAGTATTATTACTTTTTTTTTACCTATTTGTACCCTACAGCCTATTATTTATTTTTGGAGGAAAATTTTGTTTAGAATTTCAAAGATCTTTAAATTTTATCAAGCTTTTTTTTTTTTTAATTTTTCAGGGGAAACTAGAAGAAATAAAAAAAGTTTCCTAAAATATAGTTGTTTTATTAAAAAGTATATTTTTTATATCTATTTAAATTTTATGTTAAAGTTTTAACTTTTTTCTTATTTATTTGTAATTTTATTCATCGTTATTTTTTCATTATTTTTTAATTTTCATAGTTGATCAATTATTTTTGGGTACACATAATAATTTTATTTTTAAATTTGTTTCAGTCAAAGTATAAAATAATGAAATAAAATGAGTACCCCGAAAAAATGCCTTAAAGAAAAAATTGTTTTATACTATGATCAAATACTTCAGGTAGGTTTAAAACAAAATGGTGCGTTATATATTTTCTGGTGTGTTAAATATGCTATATATAATATGTAATAGTAAATAAGGAATCACTATGTTAAATAATGCATTAACCACATTAAAATTATGATAAATAATGCAAGGAGGCTACTTATTTGTGGTTATAACCCTCTCTCAACTATATAACTTCGAAACACGAACCTTGAAGAACAATGCTGCTGCGCGGAGAAACGAGTTGAGCGCAGTACTATCAGGGACATGGTGGGGGCTGAACTCGGAACCTCTTGTTTATGAAGCGAGCGCTCTACCACTACACCACTACCTGTCTCATTAAAAAATAATTGATAAGTTATACATTGTTTTATATATATATACCACTATGCAAATTTAAGAGCTAAATTGTGTAAGTAATTTTGCAAAAGCAATAGGAAAAAGTAAGTAGATAAGTGATAGAAACTTTTTAATTTTAGAAAAAAAATTAATTAAAAAAAAAAAATTAATTTTGAGGAAGCCAGATGGTTAGGTTGAGGTAGGTGGATGATCAGATTAGTGGGTAGTTAAATGAGATGCATTGTTAAGCCAACACGATTAGGGCCACCTATACCAAATTTAAAATACATTTTTGTATATGTCCTACATATATACATTTTTTATGTCCTACCTATTTATTTTTTGCACTATATAGAATTACAACATCTCTTAAATATTTGTAAATATTTTTTAGTTTTTTATTTGTTTAGTTTTCACTGTACTCTCCTGAGACCGCCAGGGTAAATTTGGGTTTACTCTAATTTTTTTTTTTATTATTACTATTATTGGGTTAAGTAAAGTGTTTTAAAATAATTTTTAAAATCTAAACTCACTTTTTGACATCAAAAATTGAGATTTAATAAATTGAAATATCTATAAAAATTTCGTCATTTTAAGTTTACATCATCTATTCAAAACGGATAAAAAGACTCTATGTTACCGTAACTTATGGCAATATTTCGTAAAGCATTCGGGTTAAACATACATGTATTTTGTCAAAATGGCTGAAGCAAAATGTTTAATTTGTGCTTGTTGTTTCATTGCCTTTGGAAAAGGATTAAAAAAACTTATTAAAGTAACTCCTGCAATACAACTCCATATTCAAAACTTATTTTGGAGAGAATATGATGTAGACAAAGAGTGTTGTCCGAAAAACATTTGTACTTCTTGCAAAACAAATTTATATACATTGAACAGGGGTGAAACATCAAAGTTGAATGATTGGATTGAAAAAATATCTAAAATTAACAGACAAAAACTCAGAAGATCATCTGATTTTAGTGAAATATCTGAACAGATGGCAAATGATAATCAAGAGATCATCGATAGAGTTATTAAAAAGATATGTCCTTCATGCTTTTCTTCAATAGGTATTCTTCAGCAAATTTAAAGTGTTGTGCTGTTTTTATTTTCAATTTTTTAAAAATAATTAAATTCTCTATAATGTTTATATAATAACATATACTTTTAGAATTATATATATATATATATATATATATATATATATATATATATATATATATATATATATATATATATATATATATATATATATATATATATATATTATATTATATTATATTAAAATAATAATAAAATACAATTAAATTTGTAACATAACTCAGAGTTTCACGCTATATGCGATCATCAGACGTTACAAACAACCATAACAACAACAAAAATTATATACAAAAATACAATACAGTGTTAGCTTAGATGACGTTAAAGTTGCAGATAACAAATTTGTTTTCGTGGCGACATTTAGATATTAATTCATTTCGCTTATTTAATAGTTTCAAAGGTGATGTAATGATATGGTATTTTTCCGTTAAACAAAGGTTACATAACTTTCTTCCAGGTTTAAAAGGTTCTGCCCTATCAATAATTTTCCACGTAAGAATAGGATTTGAAAATCCCTTATACTAAAAACCAACTTAAAAGTTGTAAACTTTCTTGATGTTACCTTCAACCTATTAGAAAATACTTTCCAGCCATGGAGGTCTGGAGGAAATATACTAATATCTATTACCTACCACCCCCTCCCCATTTGTTAAAGTATAAGTTATAACTGTTTTTGTAAAAAAAAGTATGTATAAAAGTTAGTTTAGATTTTTAAAATTATTTTAAAACAATTTACCAACCCCAATAATAATAATTAAACAAAAAAAAATTAGAGTAAACCAAAATTTACCCTGGCGGTCTCAGAAGAGCACAGTGTTTTGTTTAATTTTTTAGTTTTTTATTTGTACTTTTTCATTTTATTTGTTTAAACTTTTTTATTTATTTGAACCAACTTTTTAATAAAACTTATGATTTTTTTTATTTTTTTTATATCCTTAATAAAAAACAACTTGAGCATACTATTTAAAGTACACAATACAAATAAGTGTTAATGAAGTGTAAATGATTGTTAAATGAGTGATAATGCAAATAAAATGGAATGAATATGAAGAAATTTGATAACGTAAAGAACAGAAACTGTCAGTTGGGCTTATTTAAGCATTTGAAAAGTTCAAAACTTTTTATATGGGTTTTTATATTACAAAAACACAACAAGAGCAGGTTAGGCAGTGTAGGATTTATTTACAAAATTTATAGCCCATATCAAAATCAAAGGAGAATGGTGATTGGATACCAGGGCTTTGGAGCTGAGGTCAGAAAATGGGTTCCAGCTCCAGGACCGGCTCCATTAAAATTTTTAATTTAGTTTTTCAAAATTTTTAAAGTTTTAAATTTTTAAGTTCAAAATTTTTAAATTTTAAAATTTTTAGTTAAGTTTTTCAAAATTTTTACTTCCAGCTCTAGCTACAGAGTGACTCCCAAGGAAATGAATTAAAATAATAAAATATTTTAGAAAATATCAAGTTTTGGTCGTTATATCATGATTGCTTGATATAAACTCAAGTGCAGAAAATAGCCTCTCTAGACTTGATTGTGAGAAACACATAGATGTGCATACTCTGCATACCTCTGTATCCTTTTTGGGTATTCTTTAATTCCCTCAAAAGCTGATTTTTCACTTTTGAAATTTTCTTTTCTTCTAGTCATGGACAGTCGTCCATGAAATTTGTATTAAAAGTAATTTTTATTAAGAAAATTAATTTTGGTCTTTTATTATTTTTATCTTCTCAATTTATTTTTTTATAAATCTTGATCAGAATTAGATTTGCCTTAAACTGAATGAAGTGCTGAAACTGAATGAAGTGCTGAAACTGAATGAAGTGCTGAAACTGAATGAAGTGCTGTAGATGATTCAGCTGTGTTTCTTATTTCTTGACTTACTGTTATTTTTTTTTTGGCATCTCTTTTATAATTATTTTCTGTTATTGCTTTTAAAGCTTGTTTTGTTCATTCGTTTCTTACAATATTCTGCAACTAGATCAACATAAACTGTGGCTAGAAATATTTATATAGACGTTTGCCAAAAGGTAGTGTATGCTTTTTTTAAAGCATCACAATTAGCTAGCTTTAGAATGTGAACAACACAGCACATCACCTCAATTTTACCATGTTTACACCCTTCTTGGAGAACTAAGGTTAGATTTTTTTCCTAAACTGCTGCACTTTTTTTCTGGTTTGTATATTGTCATAAATGCTCCTCGTGAATCCTCATGTTGTTCAGTTTCATCTAGAAAATTTTCATTTTCTGAATTTTTTTTTAAGTATGATGGTCTCTAAATTATTGTATGTATTGTAACAACATAAACTACATGACATATAACAAAAAAGAAATTGATCAAAACTAATTTAAAAAAAAAATGGTAATGCTTTTTTGAATATATACAAAAACAATTTTATATACATTAACTCAAGTATAATTTATAAATTTCTAAGTGCTTCAAGGTGAGCATCAAATACTTAACACTCAATATTTACATATAAAATCAATATCAAAGTATAAAATGTTTTATTTAAAAATTATAAAACTTTAAATAATATTATTAATTACAGTTTAATTATATAAGAATTTTTTCATATAAAAAATAACTTCGTAGTACTTAGGAATCCCAACAACAAATACTCATACTTTAATATTCCAAATTATCAAAAATAATATAATATAAATTAAAAAAATAAAGCCAATTTAATTATCTCTTAAATGATTTTAAATAAGTACTTAAAAACTTTTTAAATCTATAAGTTAATCAATTAGCTTTCTAATAATATATTACACTTTTCGATCCTATTTATCCTTTCTGAGTAATTTAGTAGTAAATTAAAGCAACCTTATTAATTACTTATAACAAAATGTGTCAAAATTATAAGGTCAGTTAATAAAAAATTTTAAAATTTTTTGTGAAATGAATTTATAATTTTTAAATGACTTAAAAGATTCACCAAGAGTTAGCATTCTGTCAAAACATAATTCTAGAGATCAAAGTTTACTTCATTTGAAGTATGGAGCTTGGAGCCAGCTCTGTCTAAAAATATAACCTTTTATTTCAAAAAGTAAAAACTCATTTAATTCAAAAGTCAAAACTTTCAAAACTTTCAAAAGTCAAAACTTCTCACTTTTGCACTAATAGCCAAAACCTCCCAAAAACAATTACTATGAGCTTTACAAAAGTTATTTAATCAATACCATCTGAAGCTGATTAATTGCTTTTCAGTTAAATTTCAAAAACTCACCAATTTTATTTCTAAAGTTTCTATATTCACTATTTTACTACTTCCAAAGTTATTTTATTTTTGTATATAAAATGGTTGCTTCAGTGTACTCCTTGCTATAGATAAAAATATTTCAAATTGTTTAAGCCATTAACTAAATTATTTCTTTGTGCAGCGTTTGTCAAGGTGTTTTAGAGTAAAAGGATTGAGGTTGTAACGACAAAAGATAAAAATGAGTAGCCAAACGTAGTGGTCCCTTGGAGAGCTAAATACAGTTAAAAAAAAAAAATTCTATAAACAATTTTTTTTTACACTGCATTGATTTTAAATTTTGTAATTTGTAAGGTCTTATCCTCATTCTTAAATAAATTAACTCATTTTGGGTCTTGGTGAATCAAACACTTTTTGCTTACAATATAAGTGCTCTAATACTATACCACATGAAAGTAGCAAAAGATATTAGTTTGTAATAATTCGCTTACTTAGATATTAAATTCTTGTTTAAGTTTGCCTGAACATCCTTGTAAAACATTGGCACTAGCTTCAATAAGAAAAGTATTTGGAGATCCTTCTAACAAAGATTTATGGAAAGATTAAGAAGAATTTTTTTTAATAACTGAGCAAACAAAAAATTTAATTTTTAAACTTTAAAATTTAAATTTCAAACTTTGATTTTTAACAAAAGTAAAATATGTTATGGTCAAATTTTGAAAAGTGCTTCAATCAGAACACTCTAAATAAGACAGAGTAACTCCATACAAAATTTCAGCTCAGTAGCTAATTAAAAGTATTCCTTGTTAAGAGACTAGTTCACTTGTTCACCAGGAAAACTAGTTAAAGTAGTTGAAACTGAAGAACTTTGAAATATAGAAATCTAAAATATTATATCTGGTATATATAATATTTTAGATTTCTAAATTAGAATATTATAGATTTTGCGGGGTATAGCTTTTGTGGTGTTTAATTTTGACTTCAGAAAAAGTTGCAAGTATTATTGGTTTATTTTTATATATTTATTGATAAAGCAGTTGTGTGTTCCTTGGTCCTCTTTTGTTTTATTATTCATTGTTGTTGTAGACAACTCTGTTCATTTAGCTTATCTATTCACTGATATATCTCTTAAATATCATCAAATCAAATCATTCTGTATGTAAAACATTGAAAAAAAATTTTGAGTTGACTCAAAATTTAATGGCATTACAATTTTGACTCTTTTTTTTTACATTTCTGGCTGTGTCTTGTAAAAATAAAAAGTATTAAGTACAAATTTTATGACTGAGAAACTCAATAATTCACAAAAAGTAGGCACTAAAAAAATTTATTTATGCAGTTAAATATCAATTGTTTGTAGAAATTTAAAATTATTTAAAAATTGAAAGTTGTACAAATCCAGTTAATAAATCAAATCAATAGTATATAATAAGTCAAATAGTATATAATAAAATTATATCAACTGATGCCAACTAATTTTATTAAGCTAACCAAGCAAAGCAATTTCAACATAAATTATATTCATTAAATTTTTTCTTGTTTTTTTTTTCTCTTCAGATAAGAAATCACCAATTAATTGGTGTCTCAATCTTGATCCTTAAAGGTTTGTCTCATTGTCTGGCTCCTAGAATTTTTTTTTATCTCTATCATTTTTTATCTCCTATCATTCTTTATCTCCTATCATTCTTTATCTTTTATCATTCTTTATCTTCTATCATTTTTCAACTTATATAATTTCTCAACCCCCTTTTCTTTCCTCACCCCCTTTTCTCCTAAATTTTTATTTTATTTTTGTTTTATTTATGCTTTATCTAAGAAAATAGATTTTTAAAACTATAAGTTAGAAAGTTTTTCTCTCTGCTTATTACTTAATGTAGAATTATCTTTCAATTCTATGAACTAAAAACTTTGTTGAGAAAATCTTTCAGATCTGCTGCTCCATTTATTTTGAATATAGTTATTTATCATGAAACCTTTTTTTGTATTTACCTCCCCAAAGCTGCAGGGGTCACTACAGTCAAGATCATAGTATTAATCATTGTAAATAGTACTAAAAGCAGCATATCCACTCATGCCTATTTTTTTCTATAAAATTAATTTGAATATTTTAGGCTGGAAGTATCATTGAAGACAACAGAAGCATATGGGACGAGTTTTTTTTATTGAAGGTGATTAATAAAAAAATTTAACTTTTAAAATAATTTTCTTAAATTTTATATAGTTTTTTTAATTATTATTTGTTGTAACAAATATATACTACTATTATTATTACAGGTAAATGTAGTTTATTTGGAAGAAAGGATTAACAATCTTAAACCAGAGCAGTTACTTGAATCGAAGGTGAAATTTAGTTTTATGATGTAACTTACCATCAGTTTTGTTACTAGAAAATTTCCAACATTAAATTTTATTCAAAAATCTTAAATATACATTTTACCTTTTTGATATTAGTCCTGCTGACAATTGTTTCAGTCGATTGATTTAGTTGAATTAAAAATTTTAGAAGTTATTCTAAATAGTTCTTAAGTAAGTTCTCTACAAATATAAATGAGAGTAAAAAACTTTAAAGGAAACAAATTTAAAAGTGAAAAAAAAAAAATACTTTAAATTAATTTAGAAAAACAATATTTTCTAATTCAATTTTCTAATCTCTTAGTTTGCAAATTTGTTTTTTGAAATAAGTCAAATTTTCACCCTGTAATCTACAATTGGTACATTACAGCGTTTTAGTAGGAAAAGATTTTTCCTAAAGAAAAAAAATCATTGTTTTGGTCTTTTTTTTTTTATTCTGGTTTTTTAGAAGCCAGTGCTGCTCTCTTTAGAGGAACCAATACTCCTCTAGTTTGTTACAATATCTTTGTTTTCCAGAAGCAAGTTCTCCTTTTTTACAACATAATCTTTATTTTCAATTTTTAAAAAATCTTTTAATAAAAATGTAAATAAATAATAACATTTTTTAAAGGGCAAAATCAATGAGTTATTTTTGAAATGTGTGGATACTTTGAAGGAAGATAACCAAATAAAGATTGTTAATTCTCTTCTGGTATGTAATTTTGTTATGATTTTCTTTAAATGAAATTTGCACAAGTTCTTTTGACATTGAATATAACATTACATGAGTTTAAGATAATATAATTTTGAAGTGCTTTTAACATCAAATTAGTTTGAGGGATCATCCATAAATTACACAACTTTAAATTTATTTTTCAAAAATGAGAGTAGGATTTGTTCTTTTTTGTGAGGATTTTCGTTAAACTTAAAGAATTATTTTTATTTTTCAAATAAAGACTCTGCAAGGGAAAACTTTTGATATTTTTTTATTTTGCTTTTTATGTCTAAAATTTAGCATTTATGCTAATTTATCTAATTTATGCCAATTTATGTAATTTATGGATTATCTCTAACATAACATGAGTTTGACATGGTAATATTATTGTTATTATACAAGTTAATTTTATTATAGATAATTATATCTATAATATTAATATATTATTAATATCGTTGTTAATTATTGTAATAAAATTAGTTAAATAAAAACTTGTCAGGGTTTGACTTTTAAATAGAGGTTTTAAAATTTGAAAATTGTTTTTAAATTCAATTGAAATCAATGTTTATTTTTTAAATCAGACATTGTGTACATTAATGAAGTGTGTGTTCAGAAAAAAGTTTTCTGATTTTGGTTATGATGTAATCAATATTTTAATTGGATTTGATCAAGCAGAACAGATCACTCAGGTAAATCTTCTTTTGATTTATTAAATCTGCAGTTGCGGCCCTCAAACCTTAAGGTGCGAATTAAAAAAAAAAAGATCCAGCTTTTTAAGTCTTCCTTGTTTATTTTAGTAAATTGTGGCATGAATAGTTATGTAAAGCTGCATAATTTATGAAAAAAAATTTACATGTTTATTTCATACATTTAACAAAATAATGAAAATTGTTTTGAAAATTGTTATGTATTTTTTTGGTCTTACCAAGAATTAGATAAGGTACAATGTTTTTGTAAAAAAAGTGCATGTTCTTCAATGGGTATGCACTTTTTTATGAAATTTTTTTATTTCCATAATTAAGTTCCTTTATATTTTGATACATTACCATCATAACCCTCATTCCATATACGTAATGAAGCCCACTATGATTGTGTGTATATGTATCTATATATGTGTATATATATATATATATATATATATATATATATATATATATATATATATATATATATATATATATATATATATATATCTGTGTGTGTGTATATCAGCCCTTGAAATTAAGGTTAGCATTCCGCAAAGCTGACCTAACTACCAACCTGAAAGTGTTTAAGGTTGGCAAATATTCGCTGACCTCCTTTCTAGGTTATGTATTTATCTACTACTGCTTATGTAGATCAGCAATTCCTTATTAGTTATGCTTATTTTTATAGCATACAGCTTTTTCAGAATAAGAAGAAAAAACAAGCATGGATGAAATTACTAAGTAATCAGAATAAAAAGAAAAAACAAGCACAAGGGATGATGAAAGAAAAGATTGTTGCTCATCCTAACTCTCAGTCAATGTATTAACACTGCTTTGCTGCATCAGGCTATAAGATAATCCATGTATGTACTGAAACCCACAACAGCAGGCTGTTTCAGTGTAGTCACACTGCTAATCTAAACACACATTTATAATTGTATGTGTATATATATATATATATATATATATATATATATATATATGTATGTATGTATGTATGTATGTATGTATGTATGTATGTATGTATGTATACACACACACACACACAAATTTACCTTACCATACCAAGATGTGCAGAATCCTACTATATTTAAAAAAGTTTAAGTTTTTAAAATTTTTTCTTTATTCCACACAGCTTTTATTTATTGCTGTAATAAATGTCCTTTATACATAGATATCATCTGCTCATACCCTTAGGCAATCTAAGTTTTAAAGCCCCTACAGATGGCTATTTCATTGAACAGTATCTACTTGATTTGGGAAGAATCTATGTATAAAAGATTTTTATTTCAGCAAGAACAAAGTTAATATATATTTTTTTACTTTTAATTTTGTAATACAATAATTGGGGGTATCTTTCTTGTATTATATAGATATATGTGCTAGTTAAATTGAGATGAATGTTTATGGTAACTCTAAAAAAGTTTGTTAATTTGTTATAGAAACTCTTTGAAACATCAAGTGCATTTTTATTAGGAGATTACTCTGGCAAGTTTATTTATAATATTAGTTAATATTTTTATTATATTTATTATATCAGTAACTTTTGTAGGTAGTTTAATTTAGAAAAGGGTAAAAAAATTTTACTCAATAATCCTCATTTACTTCCTTAAACCTCTTTTCTTTTTTTTTTCCTTTTTATTTGGATTACAAACATATGTCTAAATGAGATCATAAACTTTTTTTTCCCAAAATAATCATAAGTAATTCCTTTAAGTAAAGATTGTAAAAATCTTCCCATTTCTTTCATATGATGCAAATGTGTTGCATATTTTCCTTATCTAATTTCTACACTGGCAGTTTTAATGGAAATAAGAAAACTGATAAACAATCAATAATGATTTTTTAGTCATTTTATTTTGGTGAAAAAGATTTTAACACTGATTAGTGAAAAAATGTTTTAAAAATGTTTTGATTTTTTCTCATAGTGAGTTTAAAGAATCTTGTATTAAAAATGTTGTTGATAATTGTAACGGTAAGTTTTATTGTGTGTGTGATGTATTAAATATCTTTTTAGTATTTGGTTTGTATTTTTTATATTTTTTATGTTGCAATTTAATTTTTAAAAAAAGTAACATTAACAAAGTGATAGTTAACTAGCATTAGTTATCTCATCATTAACTTAAAGGTTGTTAACAAAGTCTAATTAGGTGATAGATAATCAAGCGAATTGATAAAACAAGATTGAATATAGTAGAAATCATTAATTGAGGATCAACTCTTTTACAAAAATTTATGAACAATTTTGATAAAATTTTATACCTTAATTATTATTTTAAATTAAAATTTTTTTTGATAAATAAAAATACAGCTATAAAAAAAACAAAAAAAAAAACAATAAAATATAATTATAATTATATATATATATATATATATATATAATATATATATATATATATATATATATATATATATATATATATATCAGTGGGAAGCTTTAGCTCTCGCCCACACTCCCCTGAAACTGTTTACGAGAGCTGTTTACGGCTCTCGCAAAAGTATAATTTTTCTCATAAAAGTATAATTATCATTTTAAATAAAATAAAAAACACATAGTCATTTAAAATTGTATAAAGTTATGGTTTATTGCAATTAATTTCAATTTGAAATCTATCATTACCAAATCAACAAAAGAACAAAATAGCTTAAACATATTCAAATTTAAGAACTATTTAAAACTATTTTGTGCAAATTTTAACTTATTTTGATAATATCCCAAAAAAAAAATCAACTTATTTTTTGCATTTACAAACTAATGAGTTTTGTTTTTTCAATAAAAGGTAGTCTTGTATGTTTCTAAACTTTTGTATATAATAAAAGGTAGTGTTGTATGTTTCTAAACTTTTGTAAATTTAAAGATTAGATAAGTGTCGTATTAGGTTGTTTAAGTAAACATTTGTGGCACACATGATTTCTTCACAAATCCTTACTTTTTCTTATGTTAGGTATATTACATTTATAGCATATTACTTTAAATCTATTCACAATTTTATTTTTATGTTAAAAATGTCTTTAGATCATGTCTGATGCATGTTTAGTGGCCATTGCAGGTCAAGATTGTCAGACAATTAAATAGAAAAATTAATTATAAAACATGAAAGTAATTGTTTCAAGAGCCAATAAATTAACTAGTAGAAAGAAAAAAATTGCTAAATCTATTCTAAATAAAGAAAAAAAAAAAAAATTACTTAAAAGAATCAATGTATGAGTCCAGTTTAAATTGACTCAAATATAGCTTTTGGATATTTTATATAGTTTGTTAAAAATTAAAATACTTATAATATTAAACTAAATAAAATAGTTTTTTTTATATTGGTCGACTTGTCTTCCAGCAAAATTTTTTTTTTTTTAAAAAAAAAAAGTTAAAATTTACTGTAACAAGTGATTTGTTCAATTTTCAGTAAAATATTTCTGTAATCAACCATTTCTATAGTAATTTCAAAAGAAAAATTGGATCATTTTTATTTTTTTATTTTATCATTTTATGTTTTTATGTTGCAAAATTATTAGAGTTATTTTATTACTAACAAACTATTTGATAACTCATTTGTTTTTAGTTTTTATTTTTATTTTTTTAGTTATTGTTTGTTTGTTAATTTATGACTAATAATTATATTATTAAATTTAATTATTTTATTAATTTTCTACTTTTTAATCTTTTATTTATTTGTTAATTTGTAACTTGAATGTTTGTTATAAATTTTAGGCTGTCGATAATGTTAGTTCAAACACATTTTTAGAATACTTGATGATGTTTAACTTGTTTGATACCCTTGCTCAGGTAAAATCTGTTTCTTTTTTTAACTTAAAGGAGAAAAGAACCTTTTAATACTATTTATAAAATTTTTTAATAGGTTTTAGCTAATCCTGTTCTTCGTGAAAGACATGGTTATGAGGCTGTTATTATGCTCTGTATTCTGTTGAATTATAGAAAAAATGAGGTTTTGATATTTTGCTGTTTTTGCGTTTTGTTGTTGTCAAGTTTTGTTGACAGTGACCATTTTTCTGGCATGAATTTTTTTTTCTGTGAGATATTTTCTTTGTGAGGTTATATGCTTACGATCAATTTTTTTATTTTTTTAATTTGAGAAAGAAAGGTTTTTGTGAGAAGTAAGAGTTGTGAATTAAAAATTTAAGAAATAAAATTAACAGTAAGTATTAACTTAAACTTTTTACTAGTAGAATTATATTTTAGTATTTTTTATATTTTAGTCGGTGAATCCTTATCTAATGAAATTATCATTATTAGATGATGAACTTGCGCTAAATGTGAGTATATGAGGTGTGAGGACTCAAAGAAGGTTTTGGAAGGTGAAATGAAGGTGTTTGATGGTTTTAAGACAAGTGTTATTTATCTGTTTTTTATTATTAATTTTTTTTTTGTACACAGGGACTTGGACTAGTGATCTCAAATATACTATCAACAAGTAACAGGTTATCTTTTTTTATAAGATGTTTTTGAGATGTTTTTTTTGTTTTTTTCTTATGAAAACGTTTTATCGTGTAATTTTTTAAATTTGCATTAAAAAGGAATTACTACCTTCAAAAGTCAAAAGAACTAGCCATTACTAGCAGCTTATTGAGTTCGCTGACAACTTTTGTAAGTATTGTTATTAGTTTTTAGGTAATTTATTGTTTTGTTTCTAGATAGTTTATTATTTTACTGTATTTATTAATTGGTAGTTATTATATTATTAGTATTATTGGTAGTTATTATTATTATTATAGTATTTATTAATTTGTAGTTATTAATTAAATAAAAACTTTTTTCAAATAAAAAGTCTTATTTGATAAACTCCAAAATGTTCTATTTAAAAAATAGATAAAGGTCAAAATGGTATAATTAATATAAGCGCCCCTTTTTCATTTCCATAACTTAGATTGATATAAAAACATTTCTAAATATATGCATTTTAAAGTTCCACTTTTTTTTTAATTTTTTCTCTTGGACAAAAAGTTATAATAGAAAAATAGTTAAAATAAAAAAGTTATAATAGAAAAATAGTTAAAATAAAAAAGTTATAATAGAAAAATAGTTAAAATAAAAAAGTTATAATAGAAAAATAGTTAAAATAAAAAAGTTATAATAGAAAAATAGTTAAAATAAAAAAGTTATAATAGAAAAATAGTTAAAATAAAAAAGTTATAATAGAAAAATAGTTAAAATAAAAAAGTTATAATAGAAAAATAGTTAAAATAAAAAAGTTATAATAGAAAAATAGTTAAAATAAAAAAGTTATAATAGAAAAATAGTTAAAATAAAAAAGTTATAATAGAAAAATAGTTAAAATAAAAAAGTTATAATAGAAAAATAGTTAAAATAAAAAAGTTATAATAGAAAAATAGTTAAAATAAAAAAGTTATAATAGAAAAATAGTTAAAATAAAAAAGTTATAATAGAAAAATAGTTAAAATAAAAAAGTTATAATAGAAAAATAGTTAAAATAAAAAAGTTATAATAGAAAAATAGTTAAAATAAAAAAGTTATAATAGAAAAATAGTTAAAATAAAAAAGTTATAATAGAAAAAAAGTTAAAATAAAAAAGTTATAATAGAAAAATAGTTAAAATAAAAAAGTTATAATAGAAAAATAGTTAAAATAAAAAAGTTATAATAGAAAAATAGTTAAAATAAAAAAGTTATAATAGAAAAATAGTTAAAATAAAAAAGTTATAATAGAAAAATAGTTAAAATAAAAAAGTTATAATAGAAAAATAGTTAAAATAAAAAAGTTATAATAGAAAAAAAGTTAAAATAAAAAAGTTATAATAGAAAAATAGTTAAAATAAAAAAGTTATAATAGAAAAATAGTTAAAATAAAAAAGTTATAATAGAAAAATAGTTAAAATAAAAAAGTTATAATAGAAAAATAGTTAAAATAAAAAAGTTATAATAGAAAAATAGTTAAAATAAAAAAGTTATAATAGAAAAATAGTTAAAATAAAAAAGTTATAATAGAAAAATAGTTAAAATAAAAAAGTTATAATAGAAAAATAGTTAAAATAAAAAAGTTTATGAAAAGTTTCATTACTCTTGCTTTTTTTTTCACTTCATTTTTATTTTTTGGGAGACATGGGGAGAGGTGAAAAATAGAATCTATTTTTATTTTTTGGGAGACATGGGGAGAGAAGAAAAATAGAATCTATTTTTCACTTCTAAAAGGTTGTAGATTGTAGAGCTAAACAATAAGTATTCAAAAGATTAGTAATCCAGTAGTAATCCAGATTAGTAATGAGACTAAGTGGAAAAATAATCTCTAAGGAAGGGTGAAAATTATAATAAGTGCCTTTTTCTCTCTAATCTTTAGAATTCTTTCTAGTCTTTAAATTTTTGTCAATCATTTTCTTGCTATTAACCTCTCTTGTTTGCTTTCTGTTAATTCCCATTGGTTGATTTCTGTTTTGTATGTTGATTGCTGTCTTGTTGGTTAATTGCTGTTGGGAGTTTTTTAAAAAAAAAGTTTAAAACCAGCTCTTTTGATTTTGATTGCCAATAATATTACTTTTCAATATTATTTTTCAATATTAGATTTCTATTTTCATTTTCTTATTTTCATAAATTAATTATGTTCAATGGTGTATGCATCAAAAAAATAAAACTTTTAAATAATTTGAAAAATGATTTATTTGTCTCTCAGGGTATTTTGATTGTTCTACCATCTTTAGAAGGCATAATGAAAAAAAGCTAAATTGAAAATAACTAAAAATTATACAAAATAAATTTAATGAGTTTGTTAATTTTTGACGTAAAAGATTTATTATTTTATAAAATAAAGATTTTTTTTGTTTTTTTTTGTTTCAGCCAAGCAATACATTTTTTACAGCCAAAATAAAAAACTTTTTTTTGGGTTGAAAGTTAAATAAATTAGGGTTGAAAATTAAAAAATCATGTCTCCTTTTTTAAAACTAAATGAACATTAAAATACCATTAACCTGTGGTAGAACCTAGATGCAGTTTTTATCATCTGTAAAAATTTAAAAGCAAGCAATAAAAATGTTATAAAAGTTTTTTTTCTGGTTGACTATGGGAAATTAATAGAATTTTCTGGTTGACTTTAGACAAATAATAGATTACCATATATTACTCAAACATTCATATATGTCTATCAATCATTCTGCAATAAAATTTTTTTTTTTCAGGTAGGCAGTATGTTTGTTTCAAATGAAGACGATCTTCTTTCTGTAAGGTAAATTAAATCATTTTTTTCTTTAATTTTCCTAATAAGTCAGGAATTATTTTTCATCATCTTTCATGAATTACTTAAAGATTTATGATTAGACTATAAATTAAATCTGATGATCAAGAATTTGATTGGTTCAAATAAAATTTTGTACTTTTGTAATAAAAAGCATATTTTTATATCAAATTAAACTTCTTAATAAGAATTTTTCATTAAACTCAAAGATTAAAATTTTATAAGTTATTAGAAAATAAATAGATAATTACTAGGTAATATATAAATCAGACGATAAACAAAAATAAATATATAAATAAAAGTAAATATATAAACACAGTTTAGTATAGTATCACGTTTCATCTACCATTAATTTGTGGCTGGAGCAGTAAAACCTCAGAGTCATCACAAATAGTCATCACAAATAGATATTAATAGATGAGTTTAAATGTTTATACACATAGAGTTATTTATCTTTTTATGGGGTTTATTTGTTGTAATTGTCAAATGTCTGGAAAACACAAGTTTTTTGTTTTTAGCTCTGAAAATGATGCGGTTTTGTTGGCTCTATATGAAGCTGTACTTACAAATAGAAGCTTTTTTACTGTTCTTAGTCATGTAATGGCAAGTATCATTTAATTTAATTTAATATTTTTAAATTTAAAATATCTATGAAAATCTCTTCGTTTTATTAATGGAAATTAGATAGTTGCCTAGTTTAAAAAAGTTATATAGAGTTTGAAAATTTATATGTTTTAATATATTTTAAATATAAATATATTTTTTAAATTATTCTTATTTATTTTGTTCTTTTTCATCATTTTCTAAAAGATTTATTATCTGCGCAGTAATTCAACAAAAATGCTATTTTAATACTTGGCTGGACTTGCATATTAGTTCTTTTTGTTATAATGATCTTTAATTTAAATAAAAAGATTTATATCTTTTTATTTAAATTTTCTTTATATCAATATATATTTTTCATGTTTATATTAATTTTGGTGTTATTAGCTGAAATAAGTTTTCTGTAAGAAAATAAAAAATTTATCACAATTTTTAATCAAAATAAATTGTTTAAATAAGAAATTTACAGTATTTGATTAGGTGATTTTTTGTAGTAGTTACTGCTTTGTAGTAGTTACTTGTATCCTCGGCATACTTTAGATGCTGTTCTTTTTTATTTACTTTAATTTATAATCATTATACCTGGCATTATTTAGTGCATCTGTTAGATTTTTTGCTGGATCTTAACTTCATTTACGAAGATAATTTAAAATAGTTATTTTCAGCATCTTCCTGAAATATTCAGATTTTCAAACATCTAGATAACCACGGTCAAGTTGTCAAAAAAAAATTATATGCATAATCAGGAATAGTGTACATTTGAATTCCAGTTCTAGAATTTAAATGCTGCAGACTCGCAAATATTTATCAAAGAAACATTACCTAAATTTTCAATTAGTTTTCTTGGATTAATTTGATTGTTTTAATAAAGTACATATTTTAAAAATTTTTTCTTTTGGTATATCTTTAGTTTTCCCCCATTTCAAGGCACCATTGTTCAAATATTTCTTGTTAAATTTACTGCTTATTGTAAATTTATAATTATAAATTTACTGCTTATTGTAAATTTATAATTATAAATTTACTGCTTTTTGTAAATTTATAATTATACAATAATATATATTTCTGGTAAGTCAAACACTGGTTAACTTGAACTTTTATCTTTTAATCTTGAACCATTTCAATTGGTCCCTTAACATTGTTTAATCAATTACTACTTAAGTTCTCCATTTAAGTCGAACCTCTGATAACTTGAACTTTGTTAAGTCAAACCATTTTTTTCGTCCTTTTTCAGTAAATTTCTTTGGATAACTTGAACTTTTTGTTTTGGAATTTAACATATTGACATTAAAAAAAAAATCCACATAAAACACAAATAACTGTAGCCTAATAACTTCTTTATTTTTTCGGTGTATTTAGATCAAAATAGAAAAGATCGTTACCAGAGGTTAACTTATGCTCTAATAAAACTGTGAAAGGCTAAATCATGATAAAACCGTTGAAAAACAATTATTTTATAGTTGGATAAATTTCTAAATTAAAGACAACTACCTTTTAGATGCAATTTTATTACCAAATAATAAAGGAGTCATTGTTTCGCTAAACTTTTTTCATTTGTTATCCTTTGACTTTACTGCGTGAATACAATCCATAACTTCTTTCATTGAAACATAAGTATAATTGTATAAATTTAATGTATATACTTTAGCATTGAATAAAGCAAAAATTGCCTTAACTTTAGTCAAACATTCCTTAAATTGACCCATTTTTCTTGGTCCCTTGGAGATTCCAGTTTTCTGGAATTAACTGTGTGTATATATATTTGTATATATTTGTGTGTGTGTGTATATATATATATATATATATATATATATATATATATATATATATATATATATATATATATATATATATATATATATATATATATGTATATATATATATGTATATATATATATATGTGTGTATATATATATATATATATATATATATATATATATATATATATATATATATATATATATATATATATATATAAAATATCTGTTGGTTTTTTGTCCAAACAAAATAAAAAAAGTTTGCATAGTGTAAATAATATGGAGTTATTAAAACTATAAAATTTATTTGTATATTTACCTTTTATCGAAGCTCTCTGACTTCTGTGGAATCAAATCTTTATTTTCAAATTAAAAAAATACAATTCGTTCTGGGCAAGTCAAACTACGTTTAAGTCAAAAACAAAAACAATTGTTTTACTTTGCTTAAGTTGAACATTCGTTTAGTTGAACAATTTGACAGGGCAGAAAATTAAGCTTGTTTTACATACTATACTTGTTTAAGGACCCAATTTCCTAATATTTTTATATGTGATTTAGTTTTAAATATATATATATATATTTTTAACTTTTTTTGCCAAAAAAAGTTTTTTTTTTTTAAAATAATACCTCCCCAACCCCAAAAAAGGTTTTTTTTAATTAATTTTTTAATTACTATTATTATTTTAATCATTATAGTTCATAAAAATCTTTTTTAATAAATAAATCAAAAAATTTTATTTTGTTTTATGATCATATATAATTTTGTTTTATCTCAGTAATATAATTTTATATAGACACACGAAAAAGATATTAATAGAAAAATTAAAGATGAGACTCTCTTGATTGAAAGATCAGTTCCAGGTTTCTTAGTTTAATATTTTTAAATTTAATTTTTATTATAATATATAAATATGATTTTATATAAATCATATATTGACAAAAAGTTTTCTCTATAAAAAAATTGAACAACATTTTGACCTTTTTAAACTCTTTTTTAATCTTCTTAAAATTATTTTTTGAAAAAAAATTATTATAAAAAACATTTTTTCAAATCATAACATGGTTGTAAAGTTAAACATTTTGTGACTATTTTCTTTAGTCCTATTAGAAAACCTTAAAAATTGCTTCAGTGCTATATTTTTATTATATTACATTTAAGTTTGATTTAAAGGCAAAATTAAACATGCTGTTTATTGCTTTTTTCTAAAAATATACTACAGCTTGGTCTTTAAGAAATTTTTATTTATTATAACATAGCATTACGACTGTCACAAAAGTAAGCCAATATTTTTTTTTATTCTTTGTGACAAACTTTATGAAACTACAATTTTTCTTATTTGTGTGCTGCTTTGGTAAGTAAAAATACTTTTTCCATTGTATTACAATAAATGTTTAGAAAGTCATGAATTGTGCAATCCTCTAATGTACAAACTTTGGTTAATGAAACATTTATTGTGCTGTAAGGTAAAATAATAAAGTTTTCTGAACCCAAAAATGAAATCATAGATACATTATTCACCTGTAGTTTATGGATAAAGGATGACCATCACTGTGTTCACAGACAATAGCAATACCATAACAGATGTTTATAAACATTTCGGTATTTAGGGGACATCCATAAAGTACATACACAGTAAAACCTCTGATTAAAAGCCCTCTCTTCCCCCTAATATGCATCTATATGCTTTTAATGCTAATCTAACCATCCACCCCCATTAGAGCGTACATACACATTATTATAAAATTAACCTCCTCTTCACCCAAATTTAATCCCATTTTTCCTCCAACGCATACATTTTTTAAAGCATTAAATCCAAAAAAATTTTCAGTTATTACTCTGTTACATAACAAAATATTCATTTTTTAAACTTGTGAAATTTGATGCTTTTGTTAATAAAAAAAAAGAAATCAGGTTTTGGTAGAGATATAGAGCTAGAGTCAAAACTAGAGTATGTACTCGCCTCTTGTACGCATTTGTACAGATTTATGTAACCCCCTCCCCCCATACCTGCATACTTTATGGAAGACTCTGAAGTTTATTGAGCATTATCTTACTAAAAAGCACCAGTCAAAGCAATACTGTAGTCAAAAATCTTAAAATAGATCAAATTTTGATACACATTAATTATTTACAAATTATACATGTGGTTATCAGGATGCTGTTCAAGTTGCATATTGGTCGCAGTCATCTAATATCTTGTTTACAATGGTAATCTATCACTAACAGTTAGAGCCAAAATCTGTTGTAATCTGATATTTTTTTTGTTTGTTATCTGATGATAAAAATGACAAAATGCACCACTACTATCTACTTATGTGAAATATTCGACCTCTGTTGCATTGATTGCATAAAAGGAGTTATTCTATGGAGTAATAATCCAATTAAAAAATCAATTCTCATGAACAGATCATTAAGTCTTATGACACTCATAAAGAGTTAAAGAGTTGGAGGATCGTTAAAAGGTTTTGTTTTGACTCGTGTAAACTCTTGTGAAGTGGTTTTCTTAAACCCAAAGCATATACTCTTAACATCAAATGGATCTAAAACTTATGTTAAACTGAAAAGCAGAGATGCAATTAACCTAAGATGGACAATAATAGCTGATCAAATTAAAAAAGCAAAAGCTATTAAAAATATCAGCAAGTTGCATTTCTGTAAAATAGAAAATAATAACTTTTTGACTTTTCTAATGGTTTGTACTGGGTTTGTAAAATATTATTAAAGTTTATAATTTTACATGAACTTTTTTTTTGTGCTTATGTTGGAAACAGAGATCATTAATACTACAAATTAGTATTAAATTGGTTTAAAAAAATTGAAACCTTTTTATAAGTTTAATAGAGACCATCAGTTGTTGTAAATCTTAAAAAAAATTGAGTGACAATAGTTGTTGATCAGATATTTTGAAAGTTTGATACAAACTTATTTTTTTTGTTTAATGAATTTAACAATAATGTAGTCTAATGAATTTAACAATGATGTAGATGTAGTAAAATTTTATTTTCAAGGCAAAGATAATAAAATTTCCATAACTTTTAAATGGTTCCATCTCATTTTGAACTGTCTTTGTAAAGATTAAATCTAAGCTCTTTTTTTAATCAACAAAATTCAAAAGTTTGGTTGAGTTTGTTTCATCACAAAATAGAATTTTTGTTTATAACAACAACTTTTGAATGTTTTTCTATTAGTTCAATATAGTTTTATCCTTTTTCCTTGTGAAAAGTTTTTACACTGCAGATATGAACACTGTTTTTGCGTAAGCATTCTCCATTAAGTGGTCATGAAGCACCTTGTTGCCAATTGCATAATTATGGAGGTGTTATGAAGCAATGTGAGAAGAAATAATATGGATAATTAAGACCACTGTTGCTAACCTATAAACAAATAACATGATATCACAAACATAGAAACACTCATATATAAAAGATATTTACACACTTATAAAATATAAACCCATATAACCTTAACACATATAAACACATAATAAATAACACACAAATATAAATAAATATATAAACTAAGGAAATATATATAAAATATATAATTTAGAAACTTTACAAATACAACCTTATTTTTGTAATATTTGTTTAATGACATAATAAATGTTTAATCTCGTAATAAATGTTTAACAACTTGCAAAAACAAACGATCAAACGATCTGGTTATTTATATAAAAGCAAACAGATTTTTTTTAACTTTTTTTTTCTTTCTTTGTTAATTCACCTCCTCAAGGCCGAGAAGGCCACTACAGACGAGGAGGCTACTTATTTGTGGTTATATAACCCTCTCTCAACTCTATAACTCGGAAACACGAATCTTGACAAACTCTAGATGAGCGCGGTACTACCAAGGATTTGGTGGGGATTGAATTCGGAACCTCTTGCTTATGAAGCGAGTCTACCACTACACCACTACCGCATAAAACTTATTTAAAGGAAGGTATTAAACGATCTTGTTCTTTAACATGTAACATAGAGTTGACCATGTGAGTTGCAAAGGTTTTGGAGATAAACTCTTACTTTATCAAGAGTTTGACCTTTGAAAAGAGCAAATTCTTTATCGTCTTTATTGTCTTCTAATTTAAAAATTAGAGATTAATATACTTTAAATACAATTGATTTGAATTGTGTTATTATTACAATGCATGAATTAAATAAATTACCTGACTTTAAAAGTTACTTTACTAATTCAAAAATAACATAAGGTTCATCCTTTACTACAGAAGTTATCAAATAAAAATTGTCAATCTCATCACTAATTAAGCTGATGAAGCAAAGTTTATCTTATACTTAATTCTTAAATATTATTACTGATTAAGCAGATATTGACAGATTATTAAGATTTGAGAGTACCTCATCACATGAGTGTAAAGCGAAGAAGCATGCTAAATCCTATTTATAATAAATGGTAAAAAAGTCACTGTAAACGCGCACAAATGGGCAGCGGCAGCGTTAAATTAAGTATTAGTTATAAGCGATATGTGAAGCCATGCTTTTTTTCTAACTATTTTAATTTAATATTATGTAGTCACTTTTATGAGTTGCTTATGTTTTAGCATTATTGCTTTCATGTTTTCTCAAAATACTGCTCTATCTACAATCACCCTTTTCTATTGAGCAATACTAGACTTAATTTAGGATTAAGAATTTGGAATATGATATATTTAAGAAGCCCATAAATGCATTACATAAAGTTAACAAACTGAATGTTGAAAAAAAAGAAGCTAGTGGCAAACAGCTTGTTTACCATGTCATTAAATTAAAGGGTAACGTGCCAAATTATTGTTATAAATAAATATTGGTAGTTTAATTTTTAGTATTTTGAATGATGTATTTTTATTTTAATGTATTTTAAATTTTACTATCCTAGAAAGATTACAATTGAGCTTAAAACAATTTATTCATACATTAGTTCCTGAAGATAAATTACCTGATGATCAGTCACGTTCTATTGATGAGGAGCAATCAAGAAACTTAATGGCCACTCTTTTGCGATATTCTTCCATTGCTATACAAGACACAAAAAGTACTAAAATATTTTTGAAATTTTTTACTCATACATTACATTTATTACAAACATTTTTTTTCTTCTTATGAAGTTCCCTTTTTTTATACTATTGTTTAACAACTGAAATGTTATTTTACAGCTGAACATGGCATCAACACTGCAAGATTATGTTTAAGTATACTCAGCTGTATTACAGAAGTATTTTTTGATTTTTTTTACAGAAGTACTTGTTTTTTTAAAAATGTTTCTGTTAAATCTTCTGTAAAGGTTTCTTTATAACTGTTCAATGTTCAAAAATATTTTTATAGGATCAATACGCAAATTCCTTCTTACATGATGCTAATATGACATTTTCTGTACCCATTTATAAATTAGTAAGTGTAAATTATAAATGGTGCAATTTAAATTGTAAATGATGCAATTTAAATTAATGATGATGGTGATAATGATTTGATAAATATTTTCTAGAATCTTTATCATAGAAAGGTAGGCCTAGAAGTCCCTTTACCAAGACCTTTAGCTTGTGTTTTGCTTGGTAAGATTTTTTAAAGTATAAGCAAATGTACTTTTCGTTTAAATTTAGATTTTTAGTTATTGCATATATATTATGCATACCTTTTATAATTTATTTTTGGTTTTTTCGTTAATTTAATTATACTAAGTATAAAATATAGCATGTTACAATATACAAATATGTTACATATAAATTTAAAAAAATGTCATATGAACACGTAAGTAATAAAAATATTTAAAATTTTTTAAATGTCTAACTATATTTAAAGTATCAAGTCTATTAAAAATTATATTTAAAGACTTGTTTAGTATTTTGATTGTCTTGAATTTTTAACAAATTCAAAGAATAATTTAAAATATATTTTAAGCAAAAACATGATTCTGCATTTTTAATGTTGAAAAAAAAAATCTCTTCTAAGTTAATTATTATAAAAGTTTAAAATTTCATTGATATTTTCAGTTTTTATCTTTTTTTATGCTTTTTTTTTTCCCCATGAATGTTTCATTAGTGTTTTTAAATGTTTTTTTTTTTAGATTTGATGGTTGAATTCACAGTAACCCACATGATGAAGCGATTTCCTATTCATCTATACCAGTATGTAGTTTTCTTAATTTGTACCAGAATTTGTTTTAGTGAATTTATTTGTAACAATAAAATGTTTAATTTATTTGTATAACAATTAGTTTAATTTGTAAAAAAAAAAGGGTTTCAATATTATTTGAAAAATGAATTCAAAATTATAGTATAGTATAGTATAAGTATATACCGGGCTTTCAATAGAAGTAAAATGATATAAAAATTTTAAACAAAATAGTTGTATTTTTAGAAAATAAATTTAAAAAAATTATTTTAAAAGCCATAAAAAGATATATTTATTTTATATTATTATTTTATAACCTTATTTTATATTATTATTTTTTATGCAATAAAATCTAAAATAATAATTTGCTATACGCAAATTATTATTTTAGATTTTATTGCTTATTATTTTTGAAATTTTGTATGTAAGAGACTTTAATGGTAAAAACTATATCTATTTACCACAGGTTAAAACCACTTTTTAATGTAAAAAACATTTTTTTCAAAAAATCCTTTTCTATTTATCATTTTTTTTAATTTACATTTTTTTTTATTATTTAATAAAAAAAAAAGCAAAAAATATTAATTAAAAAAAAAGCAAAAAAAAAAGACTTAAGAAACTAGTGCAATTAAAATATTATTCACAAGAGCATTTAATCTGAATATTGCGATTCCATTAATATATAGTTTTTAAATACTAAAATAATTTTATTCTATCATTTAAAAATATTTACAACCAAAAAACAATATTGAAAAGTTTTCATAAAAGTGGACATGTGAGTTTTTCATTCTTCAATTAAAGCTTTTAATTAAAACTTTTACTGTATATGAATATCATATACAGTAAAAATTCAACATACAAATATGTATGTTGAATGTTGACAAATTTATTGTCGAAAAATTGGGTTTTAAATTTAATTAGGGCATTTTGTTGTGCAGTGCTATAATAGATATAGTAAATAGAATACTTTCAGTTGACCGAAATTGGGTTTTACTACCCCATTTTGCCCCAACATAATAATTTTTTTAAATCATAATTATACACGTATGATACTGTTGTCAAAATCGCAGCATATTTTTATCTTTATAACAGTATCCTGCCACTTTCTCTATTGCTACTATTTATACATTTATTTATTGATTGTTATGCAAGTTCTTTCCATTTCTCCATTTTGCTCCATACCAAATCCCATTTTTCCTCAAACATGGAGTAAAATGTTTTGTTGTTGTTGTTCTTGTTGTTGAGCTTTGATAAATTAAAAATTGACATTCTAGGGTTTTTTTGTCCTGTAACAATGTTTTTAATGTTGTATTTTTTTTATTTTTAAGTAAATTTGTATTGATTTTCATATTTTTGTTACTAAAGGAAAGCTTTTTTCTTAAGCACCTTATTTTATCCCAGTTTTCTCTACATACATTTACTGATAGTTATAGGTGCTGTATATATAATTCAACTGATATTGCCATAGGCACGGTGTGTGTGCATGCATTAACTGATTTAGCCTTAGCTGATCAGGTGATATAGCCATATGCCCGGCAGATTGTACATACATTGACTAAGAATTTTGATTTGGGTAGGCAATCTTTTAAATAAAAGAAAGAAAAAAAAAAGTAGTTAATTTTATTTTCAGTCTTGCTTTTTAGTATTTTTGTAAAAAGCAGGACTGAAAAGAAAAATAAAATGAAATTTTTTTAACTTTAATTTCTTCAAAAATAAATTATTTTTGTATTATGTTCATTTAATGATCTTTTAATAAAATTTGTTATAAACAGTTATTAAGTAGTTGTCAAAATAAAATCTCTATAAGATTATAGAAAACACTTTAGTATTGTAGAAAGCGTTAAATACACTCTAACATTAAAGAAAGCGCTTGTAGAACACTTTAAGATTCAATATAAGAAAGAATTCTTTCAATCTAAGAATTCTTTCTTATATTGAAGAAAGCACTTTAAAAAGAACTCTAATACTAAACAAAGCACTTAACAAAAACTTTTATATAGTATATACATATTATATATGTATTTGTGTGTGTCTATAAATATATATTTTATTAACTAAAATATATTAACAGTATATAGGAAATTCAGTATTATTATTTAAGGAAGTGCGTTGGAATTATTCACCGTTGTCTGTGTTACCAAAAGAAGTGCCGTATACGTCTCCAATATTGCTGGAAAAGTGTTTGGACATCTCTGATGCATTTATTAAAGTTTATTGTGTCTTCTGAATCTTTTCTTATTCCAAAGTATGATGTGTTTGATCTTTGTACACAGGTAAGTCACTTTGTGCTCATCCAAAACCAGACTTTAATTACTTTTGTGTTATTTTTTGTGTTTTTTTGTTTTCAACCTCCAACAAGGCTGCAAGCAATCACTATTAGAGTTGGGAGTTACTGGAAGAGAAAAGATGAAGTTTATAGAGCAAGATAATGATTGACAGATGACTTTGCAAATTTGCAAATTAAATGAGTCAGGAAAACAAGATAAAGGAAGCGAATTCTAAAGATGATGTTTGAGAAAAAAACTGGACAAGTAAGAATTTTTAGAGCCCTTAGGAACAGTCACAGTAAAAGGATGAGACATAATCCTGACAAGTAACACGAGAATGAATTTTGGTAGATGGCACAAGAGACGCTAGCTTTTTACATCAGTGCCCATTTTAGTATTTATAGAAAAGAGAAAGAGAAGCAAGATCACGACTATGTGATAATGGTTGGAGGTTAGCTGCAAGAGCAGATCCTACTATGTTTACATTGCTTTTTTGCACCTTATCTAAGAGGGAAAGGGTATCATTGGAAGATCTTCCCCAGATATGACAACATTATTCCATACAAAGATGGACTTGCATTTGATTTGATATATGGTTTCCAAAAAAGATTGAAATTAAGAGTTATTTCTAGAAGATGAAGGGTAGATAACTCATTGAGTACATTACTGTTCATAAATATAGGAAGATCTAGATTATTGCAAAAACAGTAACCTGAAAAGAAATGAGTTTTCTCTGAGTTTAAGTTCACCAGCCACTGTGAGCCCCATGCTGTAGCAGAAGTGAGATCTTCTTCAAGCTCAAATGCCCCCTTAAACAATCAGAGAGTGTTGGCTTCTTATCAAGAAAAGAATAAATGGTAGTATCATCAGCGAACAATGCCACCTTAGATATCAGAATATCTGGAAGATTATTAATGTAAGTTAAAAAGAGTATAGGACCAAGAATAGAACCTTGAGGAACCCATGAAGTGACAGGATAGTAAGAAGAGTGCTGTTTATCAAGGACACTTTAATACTACGACTGGTAAGGAAGGGTATTAATAATCCAAAAATGTTACCTGATATATAGTGTGAAGAAAGCTTATGGAAAAGACCAGCATCCCAAACTTTATCAAAAGCTTTAGAAAATGTCAAGAGCAGTAATCTTAACCTCTCTAAATCTAATGTACGATAAAACCTATCAGTTATTACTGTTAGTAAATCAGCTGTAGAATGAGATCGAAATCCATATTGATGATCAGAAAGTAAATTATTAGATTCAAGATGAAAGATTAAGTGTTTGTTAATTAAAGACTCAAAAACCTTGCTTATGATAGGAAGAAGACTAATGGAACAGTAGTTAGACGTTTGTTTTAAATATGTAATTTTTGTTTTAAATATTCAAATTTTGTTTTAAAAGATATAAAAAATTAAAAAGAATACAATTTAATCTGCATATATGTTGCATAGCAAGTATATTAAAGAAACATACAAATTTATTAACATATTGTTCGCAATTCCATTCTATGAATGGATGAAAGTACTTTCTATGAATGGATGAATATTTCTTTGTGGCTGAAAAAAAAGTTAATGAAAGAGTAAAAAGTTAAAAAACTAAAAATAAGTTAAAAAACTAAAAATAACTATCTAATGGAATTTTTATTTAGATCTAGTAAAAAATAAGTTTTTAGATTCTTTTTTGCGTTTTTATTAATATTTTTTGCTGTTCTTTTTAACTAATGTACAATACAATATGCACATATTAATTGCATTATGCACATATTAATATATTATCTCTTTAAGTTAATATATTATTTAATGTTAATATATTATGCTTTTTATTATTTATCATTTCTTTTTTTACTCAATTTTTTTGTTTGTAAAGGTATTTTGGGTTATGCTAGAATTAAATGGTACACTTTTTCTTATAAATATTTAGATTGTTGCTATGACAGTGCAAACTATGATTTACTCACTCTGAAACAGAGTAAATCATAAAATCAAATGAAACATACAAATATCTAAAACAGAGAGACCAAATAAAACATACTTACAAATATCTGAAACATAGAGACCAAATGAAACATACTTACAAATATCTGAAACAGAGAAACCAAATAAAACATGCTTACAAATATCTGAAACAGAGAAACCAAATAAAACATGCTTACAAATATCTGAAACAGAGAGACCAAATAAAACATATTTACAAATATCTGAAACAGAGAGACCAAATAAAACATACTTACAAATATCTGAAACAGAGAGACCAAATAAAACATACTTACAAATATCTGAAACAGAGAGACCAAATAAAACATACTTACAAATATCTGAAACAGAGAGACCAAATAAAACATATTTACAAATATCTGAAACAGAGACACCAAATAAAACATACTTACAAATATCTGAAACAGAGAGACCAAATAAGGATCTTCAGCTCAAACCTTGTCCAGGTTTATATTGTTCTATCTCCAGACAAGCTTTAATATTATTGTTTTTTACAAAAAAAGAACAAGTATAACAAAATTGAAAAAGAAAAAAAGATGTGTTTATATTTTTGACATTGTTGATGAGACTAAAAGTGTTGGGAGAGAGAGTTCAAAGAAAATAGACAAATTCCTTTAGTTATTAATGATTACAATAAAAATATGGTAGACATTGAAAAAAATGATCAAAAGGTTACATTTTAAGTGAAAAGGAAAAAGTTGAAAAAGCAGTAAAAAAAAGTATTTCAATCAATCAGCTTTCAATGCTCAAATATTTTGTAAAAGAATTTGTAATATATATGCTATGAACTTTAGAATCACATGCTAATCACATCAATAGTACAAGGTCAACAGCCAACAAAATTTACTCTAGATTAATGGCAAATAACCCTTTACTATTGATTGACAGAGATTTTCCATCAAATGTCTCAGCCAGGGTTGGATTTACACCCTTGGGGACACTAGGCTAAATTAATTTTTGAGGCCCTCAAAGATATTTTAAATGAAAATCCATTATGTAGTATATGTAACATTGAACTGTTCGCTGTTTACATTTCTTTGTTTAATTCTTTAGTTTTGTTTTTTATATAAATACAGTTACATTATTTACAGTTTATTTTTATATAAATTTGTTATATATTGTTGTTATATTATAGATTTGTTCTATTTGTCCTTCCTGCAGAATTAATCTCCAAGAGATTTAGTGTTGCAATCGTAAATGATTGTGAAAATAGAACTTTACAAAATAATAATAATTGTCTAGAGGAAATTGTTGTGTAGCAATCATTACAATCAAAAAAATAAAGTAGGTCAATGGCAAAGAATTCATTTTTTTACTTCAAAAATAAATTCTTTGCTAAATATGGATACTTGATGCTTTAATTTGATTAAAGTCTAATTGATTTAAGTTTTTTTATCGAGTTAATTTATTCTTGCTTTTAAACTGAAGCAGAAGACCCTGCAATAGTTTATGTGTATACTGTTTACGTGTCCTATGTAAGCTGGTTACTGAGATTTTTTCAATATAAAAAATAATATGTGTATTGTTTATATATAATAGTTCAAATTTCAGACAATATGTAATAATACATCAGCCTTGCATACAGAGCTTAAAGATTTAATTTTAGTGGAAGTACTTCTCAACAATTTGTAATTTCTTCACATAAAAAAACCTTATGGTCTAGTTTTGTAAAATTTAAAAGTTGCTTTTTCCTAATTTTTTTTTTTTTTTTTTTCTTTACTTTTTTAAACTGTTATAATGCTGATATTTTGCTGTAGTAGATTTGCTCAAAAAAGTGTTTAAGATTTAATTTCATATACATGCATTTAAAAGCTGCAGAATTATCAATTGTCAACTTTGACTAAAGCCAATAATTCAAAAAAAGTATGAATGAAAGAGTCATTAGTAATTTGATAATTTCAATTAGTTTTGATACAAAATCAAAAATACAAAAATACTAAAATAGCTTAAATACCAAGCAGCTTTAACTGTCCATTAATGTTCAGCTTCACCTCACACAAATCTTTTTTCACTTTTGTGCCTTTTGTAATATCTTCCATAATTGTTTCGTTTTAGTAATTTGAGCTATTAAATGCTACGCTTCTTCAATTAATTTTTTCCACTCTAATATATCTTAAAATTGACTTTTTTTAGCACATAATACTTTTTTAGCCTAATAAAACAAGTTAAATGTAATTTAATAGAAAAAAAAAAAAATAAATGTAACTTATTGAAAAAGCTAAACTAAAATTAAAGCACCAAGGATTTTCTCGAGAAAACTCATCGCTATTTCAGCTGGGTAAAAATTACTAAAAATAATGATAAAATATAGCTTACCTGTTCTGTTGCTATTTGGAGTTAAGAAACTAGCTTAATGATTATTTTCAATATGCGGTTAAACTAATAAGACTTTGTAATTTTTTTCACTATGAAGATGACAGATAGCAATTCATTCTTTCTATTGAACAAAGGAAAAAATAGTTGCTGCAAAGACAACTTAAAACATATTTATATACAAGAAAAAATATTTTTTTAAACAGTTATTTTTGTAAGAAATAGAAAATATATATAATATTTAAAACACTTTTAAATTTTTTGTTTAATGACAAATTTTAAACTTTAATGACAGTTTAATGAAGTTTAATGACAAATTTTGAACTATTTTTTACAATTTTTAAAAATTTTCAAAACTGTTTTTAAAAACTTTTTAAACTTTTGTAGTATGAAAAATCCTAAAAGCTTTAATTCAATGATTAGATCATTTAAGGCATACAGAAGAAAATGTAACTTTTACAAAAAAATGTAAATTTTCACTTATTTAAATTGTATGCGAACAAATAAAATTAGAAATTAATAATGGTTCTGTTTTTTTAATCATTATAAAAATGTATTTTATTTTAAAGGTAATAAATATCTTTAACTTGTTCATAACATATGGTGATACATTCCTTCCAACACCAACTGCTTACGATGATCTGTATTATGAAATCATACGTGTTCATCAAATCTTTGATAATCTTTATACTATGGGTAAGTTTTTTAAAAAAAAAAATTTATTTAAACTTTTGCAACAAGTATCTGTTAATGGATTATTATAAGTTTGCTGACTAATTAACAATCCTTGAGGATCACCATGTTATTTCGCCATTTTTTTCATCTTAGAAGCTTTTGGTCTAAGATAAATTTTTTCATTCTTTATCAAATTTAGTTAGTAAAATAAACAGTAATAAAAATAAATAGTAATAAAAATAAATAATACTAAAAAATAGTGACTTAGTAAAATAGTTTTTACCAAACTAAACAAAAAAATAAAATTGATATTAATTTTTTTTTTTTTGGTTATTTTTAAAATTAGTCATTTTCATTTATTTATTAATTTTTTAGCTTTGCGCTACATTTCAAGTGAAAGTGAGCTAAGGGTATCAGCCAGCAAGTTAACAAGCTGCTTGGTTAATGTTAGGTGCATATATAAGTGTAAAAGATTTTGTTAATAGAATAAAATGTTTCATATAGGATCGTCCATAAATTACGCAACACTAAATTTCATTATTAAACCAAAACAAAATAGATTAAAAGTTTTAGAAAAGCCTTAATTTAAATAAAAAATCAAAATATATATTCATTAAACTTAATAGCTTATTAAGTTTAATGAAAATTGCCGCATAAAAGAGTTTAAAATCTCCTACTTCTTTTTTTTTAAATAAATTTAGCATTGTGTAATTTATGGACGATCCCTAAGAATTTTTTGTAGTTTTTTTTCTTTCTATTTTTAGGGCGATAATTCATCATTTTTCACCAAAGATTAACTCATGGTCACAAAAAAATAATAAGTTTTCTTTGTCAGAGGAAGAGGTTAACTTTAATATATTTAAAAATAAACTTGAAACAGTTTAGTGGAACGCCGTCTAACAATATGAATCTTAAATTTTAAACTTCCACTGAAATGCTATTAGATACGTGATGTAAGATTCAAAATCATTTGTATTTAAGTGGTATAAGTTTCTACTTTCTTTTTTTTAGAAAGTGAAATATTGCGCTAATATCTTATTAGGTGAGTAACCGTACTAATAAAATATTTGCGCGGTTACCCAGCATTCACTTGGTGTTACACGGTGTTCATTTGGATGTATAAAGCTTATATGCAAAACATAAGTTTATATGAATATACAGTGTGGTGCAAATTTATAACCTTTTTATAAAATTATTCATAAATATATTTATAAAAAATATTATTTAAAAATATATTTATAAATAATTTAAGATCTCACAAATAATTAAATAATTATTTTTAAATTATTTAATTTTTTAATATCTTACTTGATTGATATTTCATTTCATTGAGTCTGGTTTCATTTTGTTAATTCATTTGAAAATTTTAGAAAATTGATGGTGCAAAATTATAACCTCATTTCAATTTTACTCTACAAAATTCCATAATTTTTGTATTGGGACTTGAATTTATTATTAATATTTTGTTTTATTGCCACCATTTTGAATGATCTCAAATATTCGATTTGGCGTACTTTCCAAAAGTTTTTTTAGATCTGCAAGAGATATGTTCTTCCAAACGTGAACAATTGCTTTTTTTAATTCATCGACATTCGAATATTGTTTTCTTTCTGCAACAACACGTCTTGCTAGGATGCCCCATACATTTTCAATGGGAATTAAATCAGGTAAGAGCGTTTGTCATTCTAATAATTGAATTTTCTTGCTGGTAAACCATGAGATATTTGACTTTGCTCTATGAATTGGAGCATTATCTTAAAATAAAATTGATGTTACCAAATTTTTGCAAAATATCATTCAAATGACCATTCAACAAATTTCTATATCCTTCAGCATTTAATATAGTAGTAATAAAGCCAATCAAAGCTTTTCAAAAATAAATGAACACACCCTAAGTCATTACTTCTCCGCCTTACATAGCCCTTCTTTTTGAAAATATTTTCTCTTTTTAATGTCATGCCAGTAGTAATTAAAGCCATCTGGACCATCAAGATTGATTTTTTTTTTGTGAGACCACACAATTTTTTGCCATTCTTTTTGCCGAATCATGTGGTCCTTGGTCTGTTGAAGACAAATGCGTTTGTGCGCTTCAGTTAGTGCTGGAGATTTAATTACACGGTTCACCATCCATCTTGACCATTTCAATCCAAAATCAGCACCTATTTTTCTCAGGGAGATTGTACAGTTACTTGCGGCATGCACAATTCCTCACTGTTGGCGAGCTGTAAGTATAGGTTTTCTACCACATCGATGCTTCGTGCAATAATTTGTTGGATCATTTACAAAATTATCAATCAAACGTTGTGAGCGTCTCAGTAATTTCCTCTTGGCATTTTTTAGAATGTATTTTGTAATTTTGAAATGTAATAAATTTAATTTGAAAACAGAATTTACTGCTATTTTTGGTGGCTTTTGATTCAATTTAGATAACGAGGTTATAATTATGCACCACGGTTTTTAACAGTTTTTTAAATTAAGTCAATTAAAGTATAAATAGGTTCATGTAGATTGTTTATTTCAAAAAATGATCTACAAATAGATTTTGATCAACAAACTTTGAAAGGTAGTTTTAAGGTTTCTATACAGGTGAGGTTATAATTCTGCACCCCACTGTATGTTCGTTTATCAACAAAGTAAATGTGTGCTTATTTGATTTTGTCAACAAAGTGTTTTAGCTTTAAAAATGAATTTTATATACATAGAGAGATATAAGAGAGAGCGACTGTTTGTTTTAGCAAACACTAAAAAGCATTATTGACAAAAACAAATTTTATTTAACTTTTCATTCAACTATTTATTCAACTATTTATTCAAACACTGATATTTTGAAATGCTCTCTCGGGTGCAAGTTTTCTTATTGATAAAACTCATAGTTTAAAAAATAAAATTCAAGTGTACATAGTTAACAAAATATGTTTAATAGGTACTAACAATATTAAGAGAAAACTACGATACACTTACTCTAAAGTTAATGGATGGATTGGATAGCTATGTAAAGCGAGTTGCTTCTTCTGATTTTTCTTTTTTTACTCAAATGGTAATTAAAGTTAATTTTTTGTATTTAATTTTAAAGTATACTTTCATTTGGTTATAACAGTTCCGTAAATCTAGCTATATATATATATATATATATATATATATATATATATATATATATATATATATATATATATATATATATATATATATATGTATATATATATATATATATATATATATATATATATATATATATATATATATATATATATATATATATATAGCTAAATAAACTCACACAGATATATATATATCTGTATGTGTTGCACAAATTTTTTAAACTTGTATGGTTTACAAAATGGATAAATTTTTTCTCATTCCATGAATTTCTGAAATTATATGCACATTACAAAAAAATGCGCAATTATAATACTTACCATTTTATGAATTGCACACTTTTGTTTTTTGTTGTTGTTTTTTTGTCTGTTTTTTTCATAATAAAACTTTTAACTTCTTTTTAGATATAAAGATTCTTTTTAGAGATAAAGATGTCAATAAAAAAATTAAAAATTAGATAAAGAAATTGATATAGAAAGAACTGTGTCTGTTTGCCCAATTAAGACTTTTTGAATAAACCTAATAGTTTTTTGGTTTTAAAGTTTTGTGCAGTCTGAGACACAATTTGACATTAGGTTTCTAGGTATTAAAAAATCTTGCGCAGGTATCTACTTATTCCCTCTAAATCTAAAGGGTGTTTACAGAATTAACTGAATTTAGACTTTCTTAAAAAAACATTTACAGACGGAATTTAGATCTGGAAGTCTTTTTAAAATTTAAAACATAAAAAGCAAAGTCTGACAACGTTTTTCTCATATTTTATACAATTTAATAAAATATGGCGCCTTTCATATAATATTTTTTACAAAATATTTAAATATAAAAAAATTGAAAACATTTCCTGTCGTACTAGGCCTTCTTCATACTAAACCTCTCAGATACTCTGGCAAGAGTATCTGAGAAGTTTAGTTTGAAGAAGGCCTAGTACGACAGGAAGTGTCATTTGTTTTATGAAAAGTGGTGTTAATATCTTGCCGAACATCGATGTTCATATTTTACTAAATTTTATTCTGACATTAGTTAATTGTTATCAGATGACTCATTATCTCTCATCCGAACTGTAGGAGACTCTTTAAGAGCTTTTTTTTTTTTTTTTTCTTTATACAGAGTTTTGGACTGAAAATGACTAAAATGTTTTCCATTTACCAACACTAAACTAGGCCAGTGAGTTGAGAGCTCTTGTATAATACTTTTTTGCTACCTGGTTGGAGATATGTAGAGCACCATATATTTAAGGTAAATTCAAGTTTACTTTTTTTGAGGACAATGACTTGAAGTAAATGTAAATTTATAGTTATTGAATAATTATAAATTTACATTTACTAAATAAAAAGTGTCATAAACAGTAAATGTTATAAACAAACTGTAGTGGCCCTCTCAGACTTAATGTTTATTTTAGGTTTATTTATTTTTAATGTTATTTTACCTCCCCTGAGAGGGGAGGTAAAATAACATTAAAAATAAATAAACCTAAAAAAACTAAAGCAACAATGAAACTAGATACATTAAAATGATTGCTTCATAAAATGCATATGATTTAAGCATGGGCGCACAGTGGTTTAAATGGTGGACATAAGTAAAATATTTAACTATTTGAAATTAAAATTCTACTTAATTTTTGTATACTTGAATAGCATGCAGATTTAAGCTATGAAAAAAAGTTAAAATTTTTGTCTATTTAAAAAGTTATCGCCATGCAAACTTGAACAATTTTAAAGAAAAAAAAACACACTTTAAGTATACTTAGAAAAAAGTGATGAAAAAAAAAAGATTATTGGTCTAAAACTTGGAAAATTATTATTTAACAATAAGGGATCAAGAGCCTACATAAAAAAATTTTTTCTGGCTAATAATAATAGTATTTCAGAAAGGAAATTGGATAATTTTCATAAAATTCATTTAAAAACTGTGAATTTTTGCACATGATTTTGTTATAGTTTTTGAACATTTCGGTAAATATCTCAAAAACCGCTAATGGCACCATACTAAACTTTATATGATTTCTGAAATACAAAATAATAGCTTTCATTTGCTGCCCTGCCTATGTTTTTCCCCATTAGCGGTTTTTAAAAAAAAACGAGTTTTAAAATTGCCTTCTTAAGGTTAAAGTCTAAGAACTTGGTTTCAAAAAATTAACAAATACAAAAGTTACAAAAGTAATTTATTTACAAAAAAAAAGATTGTTTAAAATATCATCAGCGTTTCTATCCAAACAGTTTTTGCAAAATAACAGTCCTTTGCTCCGTTCTTCTGCAACTAATGGGTCAGACCCCGGCCAAAGTCTTTTGAAGCAATCTTCTATATTGACAAATTGATTAATTTTTCTTGATAGTTTTTCCCTGAAGTATCTGAGACGCTTATTATTAGCTTCCATTCCTTCTTCACTCCAAGATTTCAAACCGGTGGAATCATTTATTTCTATCAAGTCCCAGCTATGAGCAATAATTTTGTGCAGTGTTGGAGTTATACTTACTCAATAAAATTCTTGTAGAAGCAAGATGTTTACCTCCTGACATATTTGTTTGTATAGTTCAATATTAATTTTTTTGCCAGGTGACATTGCTCTCAGAATAGTGGAAAGAAGCAAGCCATATTTTTCAACTAGTTTGCTGTCAGTTTGACTTGATATCTGATCTGTAATAACCTTTCGCATTACATTATTATGTGAAAGTTTTCTGGCAACATTTCCAGTTGATGTACTGCCCTCTTGTCCGGTTGATTCTGCAAAATCCCATTTTATTCCTGTTTTAACTCGGATAAATTCTTGTAGTCTTGCTTTTTCTTCTTTCAGCAATGTTGTGTTATTGTTTATCTTTCCAAGTTCAAGTTTATTCTATTCTTTCCAAGTTAAAACACCTGCTGCCATGTGAACAACTACCTTCATAAAATGATCAAAGCTCCTGAGCAATCCATGTAAAAACTGAATGAACCGAACATTCGAACATGCAATGGGACATGTAGTTTGGCCATGTCGAATTTGGTAATCCTTTTTTTTTTTTTCAAAAAAAGGATTATGTCTTCTTTTACTAAGTCAAGAAATATTTGTTGCATGGATATAACATCCCTGTTTATAATGAAACCATCTTGAACTGTTTGTATATTTTCACATTGTTCTTTTGAAAGGTCACAAAGATCACAATATAAACCTCCAAGGCCTTGATAAATATTTGAAGCCTTTCTGTCCAAACTATGAGCGACAATGTTTACTTTAACATGGTAATCATTTTGATTATGCTTAACAATAATTCCATCTTCCTTCATACACTGTATGTCTTCGTTAAATAAAGAGATTGGACATTTGACTCTTTCCCCATTTGAATCATAAGTGGCCTTTGAGTAGACTCTGAATTAGGGTATTGCTGTTCCCACAATCTAATACTTTCATGATTTAAAGTTTTAAATGAACAAAACATTGCCATAATAATGTTGCTTGTGTTAACATTGTGCAGTTGGTTGTAAATTTTGTGTCCACCACTTCCATTGTAGCCAAATTTTACTTTTAGTGTAAGGCTGTTTTCTCTAGAAGAAACAAAAATATCTTCAAGCCTCAAAATTCTCTCAATAGTAATCTTGGTAGATTCAATAAAACTTGCATAGACCCCAACAAAAAGATCTGGAAGATAATTGGTTGTCAATGGAGTGATAGAATTTTGGAACAATTGAATTTCATTCCAGGTTAGAAATACATCTATAATGTTTGCTTTTAGCATTTTTCTCTGCTGAGTATAAGTCATTCGACGTAAATTTGACTCTGATTAAAGTTGAAAATACACTGTCTGTATTCAACTTTAATGTTTTATTTTTTTCTTCACATTTTGTTAGAAGAAATTCACACTTTTAACATCAGTTGTTTTATTTTTAGCGAAATCCTATAAATAATGATAAAACATGATATATATATATATATATATATATATATATATATATATATATATATATATATATATAAATATATATATATTTGTATAGATTTCGATATATAGAATATATTCGAGGTTAAGTATTTTGATGTAATAATACAAAGTCTCTTGTACGTGTTACAGTGCTCAATATTACTGAATAATAGAGCTATATATAATTATATTTAGATGAATAAAAACAACTGATTAGCGGGACTTAAAGTTTCATGCCCGAAGGCAATCATCAGCCGTTAATACCTATTAACGGCTGATGATTGCCTAAACGGTATTAACGGCTGATGATTGTCTTCGGGCATGAAACTTTAAGTCCCGCTAATCAGTTGTTTTTATTCATCTAAATATAATTATATATATATATATATATATATATATATATATATATATATATATATATATATATATATATATATATATATATATATATATATATATATATATATATATATATATATGTGTGTATATATATATATATATATATATTAGGGTATATCATGCTCGAGCCAAAAATTAAATTTTTAGAATTTTGACTAGCAGGCTTGGATTCCTATGTATTTGGGTATAGGGAATTCAAATATAATAATATTTTTACAAAATATTGATGTCTAGCTACCGGGAAACGGGTTTTAAAATTAGGGTAATTTTTCAAAAATTAGTCTATTTTAACTAAAGCTTAATTTTGGAAAGGTTTTAGTCAATTAATACTAAAAATTACAATTATATTAGGTAAAAAGTAAACTATGTGAAATAAAACAGATACAGATATAGCCCTTTTTACGCACTCTGGATCTAGAATCCTTCCAGGATTCTATATCTCCCCCCTCCCCCTTTTTTTCAATATTTGATAGTTTTATTATGATTATAAGATCAAGGTATATTACAATTATATATATATATATATATATATATATATATATATATATATATATATATATATATATATATATATTTTATATATATATATATATATATATATATATATATATATATATATATATATATATATATACACCCACACACTGGA